GAAGACAATGTACCTCGCTTATCCACTGTAACACTAAGAAAATGGTGGATCCCAAGAAAGCAGAAACACCAATCAGGAAGGATATATGCACCCCTATGTTCATAGCAGCACCATTTACAATAGCTAAGATTTGGAAACAGCCTAAATGCCCATCAGCAGGGTTAGAAAACTGGTACATCTACACAATGGAATACTACGCTGCTATAAAAAAGAAAAGAAAAAAGGAATTCTTACCATTTGCCACAACCTGGATGGAACTGGAGAGCATTATGCTAAGTGAAATAAGCCAGTCAATGAAAGAAAAATACCACATGATCTCACTCATTTGTGGATAATAAAAAACATTATAAACTGATGGACAAAAATAGATACAGAGGCAGAGAAGCACCGAACAGACTGTCAACCATAGCACAAAGGCTAGGGAGGGTTGAGGGGTGGGGGAGATAAGAGATCAACCGAAGGACTTGTATATGTGCATATAAGCATAACCAATGGACGCAAGACACTGGGAGGGGGGGACGAGGTCATGTGCCAGGGGGTACGGGAGGCTGGGGGAAGGTCAATTGAAAAAAAATATTAAAAGGAGACATATGTACAGTATACTCTTTGTGATACTTTAAACAATAAAAAAAGAAAAAAGAAAACGATGTAGTAACTTAAAAGACTCTGAATGTATTTATTTTAACCCACAGAATCAAAACATAGCAATCTATTTTTTAAAATGTCTTTTTGTTGATTTCAGAGAGGAAGGGAAAGGGAGAGAGAGAATCATCAATGATGAGAGAGAATCATTGTTCGGCTGCCTCCCGCATGCCGCACACTGGGGATGGGGCCGGCAACCCCAGATATGTGCCCTGACTGGGAAATGAACGTGACCTTTTGGTTTATAGTTCGACCCTCCACCACTGAGCCATGCCAGCTGGGCAAAACACAGCAACCTTAAAATAAATTATTAGAAGCCGTACATTGTCTCTTTTATTATCTAAGCAGTGATTTCATTCCCCCTTCATGGGACAATTCCACCTCTATTTCAAACCATCCTTGTTAATGCCATGCAGAATCCTGTTTTTTTTTTTGAAATGGGCAGAGATGTGATCACCTTAACTACAAGTGAAATTGACTTCACACTTAAGGGCCGGTCATAAAAATGGGTTTGATCAACTTATTTTCAAGAACGTTTTCTACTCACAATTTGAGGGAGAGGAAGGCCTATCTATGTCCTTGTCTGACATGGACGGGAAGGGTGACTGAGTTCTAAAAGTAAATATCTTTCATCCACTTTCTTCAGCACTTACTTAGCAAAGTATCATGCAAAATGGTCTAAAAGTCTACTGTCTTAAAAGATTTTACCAGCCGATACCGGTTTGGCTCAGTGGATAGAGCATCGGCCTGCGCACTGAAGGGTCCCAGGTTCAATTCCGGTCAAGGGCATGTGCCTTGGTTGCGGGAACACCCCCAGTGGGGGGTGTGCAGGAGGCAGCTGATCAATGATTCTTTCTCATAGATGTTTCTACCTCTCTGTCCCTCTCTTCCTCTATGTAAAAAAATCAATAAAATATATATTTTTTAAAAAAGATTATGCCAAAGATGCTACACCCTAATGATTGATTGGTTGTCCAATAGTCACTTCCAATGGTTTTGAGTTTTTGTCCCTTCCTCCCAGATCCCCATCGCTGCCATCTTTTGTAGAGTTCAATAGACTATTTGTATGAGCACTTTTAGGTTCACATCAAACCAAGCCGAAGGTACAGTTTCCCCAAACCCCTTCCCCATCCCCGCCCCATGCACAGCCACCCTCACCTCAGTACCCCTCACCCCCACAGAGGAGTGCCTTTGTGACAATCAGTGGACCTGCATTGACACATCATCCCCCAAAGTGTACATTGGAGTTCACTGTTCATCCCTGCAAATCTGGTTCCCAGGGCCCCTTTTAAGGTGAAGTGTAGAATAATAGGAGTTTAGAGTGGAAGCAGATGATGGAGATTTCCTTTGCCCTTTCCAAGCACCTTTACAGACCATCTTCTGCATCACCCACGTTTAGAGAGGAAGGACCAGGGACAAAGGTTGGGAATTTGATTAATGACATGCACCTCTCCGCCTCGGGGTAGCAATTAAAAGCACTTGTGGGGAGCTGGGCCGTTTTCTTAAGTGAAGATTTCCCCTCATTTACCTTTTGAAAGTCTGGATTCTGCCACATCAGGTTTCCCTTAGAGCTGAGCGCAGCAAGGAGAAAAGGTGCTATTTCCGTGTTGGGGTGGGGGGAGAGAGCAGTGTGAGTGAAGGAGGGTGTCTTCGATTTCCCAGGCCCCAGGATACAACAAAGAACCCAGTGAATAGATTTAACTGGCTACTAAGGGGTGTGCCATGGCCATTCTGGAAAAATCCCAGCTTTGTGTCTCCTGAGCAGAGACGGCAACGCAGGCACGTAGGAGGCCCTGCTGCTCTCTTCCCAACAGGAACATCTTTGTTATCCAGGTGGCTGGTTCGGGATTGTTTTCTTGGTGACGAGGGAGGTATCCCTTTTACTATGTTGGAAATGTCGTGACACCAAAGCTTGTTGACTAACAATGACACATGTGATGCTGCTGGATCCACAGGCATGGCGGCTCCTGCAGGGGAGGGAGCTCCGAGGAGCAGGTGCTGGGCCCACAGACAGGTGAGCGCTGTGGAAACCCACCCGCTCTGCCATTTCCAGATCTGCCACCAGGAGCCACATCTGGAAGTGCTGGGCTTTTTAAAAGCGAAGGGGATAAGTCCTTCCTTTCATATTTAAATCTCCACCGTGTATTACCCTCATGACAAGGATGGCACCTTTGACAAATTAATTAGCTGCCAACTAGCATCCCCCTTTCTTCAGATAAGACATTAGCCTTTCAGAATAACATGAATACGGAATTGTATGGAACACTACCAGCAATCATCGGTAGCTGGTTTAACTAACACTCACGTATAGGTCATCCTTCTTGACAACTTGACATTTCCCAAAGGAAGGAACTAGGAATCAGTATTTATAGATTCATCTTATGCTTCCCCCAACCCCCCGAAACTCTGCCAAAGCTAACATCTCTGGGTTAAGATAAAACCTTGCTGATAATCAATTATATTGTGCTCTTAATCCACAGAAATCTAAACGTAGAAACCAGGACCATTCGAAAACACCTGTCATACCGACTTCAAGTCAAAACTCCCATGCGGCCACTGCCCACTACAGTTTCTAGACGTTTTGTGTTGTCTTTTTATTTTTTTAAGAAGAGCGAGCAGTGGAAAAAGAAACATGGCCGATAATCATGAAAGTAAGAAAACCTTAATGAATTTTGATCGTTTTAATAAATATATATCAAGAAAACCTCACTTTATTACAACAACACATACATATACAAGCGTCTATCATCTAAGTTTTCAACATCAAATGTTTATCAAATATTGAAAATAAAGGACAAACTTTACTATTTAGCCATAACACAAGAACATGTTTGAAAAAATTGGTCCTTGTGGACATTGTCCAAATGATGATCCTACTCATACACTGTATGAATGAGACCTATATTTAATATTAATAGCAATAATAAAAAAAAAGCTTTATCTTGGAGAAACTGGGAGGACGTACTTCATTCCTCCATTTGGCATTGGTTCGCACAGTCCTGTTTAAGGAGGCCCAATCAGATAGTGACCTTGAAATTGGAACACAGTTAAGCAGGAGGAATTGGCTGGAGCAGAGGGCAGGAGGGTCAGAGGGGCACCCCGAACCCTCTCACAAATGTAACAGGTTAAAGAAATGATTGAGAAAAACGTTGACCAAATACGCAGTCTGTAGCTATTGCTGGCTGAGTCCCATTTCTCCAAAATAACTTTCCCAAACCTAAAAATCTTTACATTCTTTAAGATAAAAACCTTATTGATCACCACATCATTTATTAACATTGTGCTTCTTAATCAACAGCAAAAGTTATATATAAAAAAACCACATGCGTTTATAATCTAAAACGAGTGAAATGATGCAGAACCGATTAAAATAGAATGCATGCCACTGGTTCGTGAATTTCATTGGACAAGAAAAACCAAACCAAACCGAAGGACCCCAAACCCAAAAACCCAATCCCGGCAACAGACGGTTGCCATAGAAAAGCCCAAGCAGCTAGCGCTGGTTCCCAACCGCTCTCTCTATTGTCTCCTCCATCCCTTTCAAAAAATGCCAAATTCCGAAACAACCGGGCATCAAACATAAAGGAACAGTAGAGATGTCGAATCAAAAGTTTGAACGCAACAGCTCGAAGGTTAACGGTTTCCAAACAATATCGATCCACCCTGTATGTGTGTGTGTGTGTGTGTGTTTAGTTTTTTTTTTTTCCTGTTTGTTAAATCCCTGCTGTGACTCTGATTCATCCTTAATTTTCACATTGGCAAAAATTAAGATAAAGTTAAGGCACCGAAAATCGCCCTGTATACCACTTCTCTAAAAGCCTCATCATCACCCATCGCAGGCAAGCGGGAACTTGCAGGGAGCGCCCTCCACTCATAGTGCTGATGGCCGCTCTTTGACAGGTGTGCTTCATTTACCGTTATGTCCTGTTTTCATCTGTCCCACAAGACTGTTAGGTACAAATACTTCACAGGCACCATGAAGCCATTTCACCTCGCTCCCCCTGTTTTCAGTCTTTCGTTCAGGAAAAAAAAATACTGTCTCCTATATACGAAGCAGACCTTCTGGGCTGGTTATATGGATCTGTTTACCAAAAACCTGCCTCATTCATTGGCAAACGTGGAAGTTTCTTAGCTAGTGACAGGCTCCTTGGGGATAACGGACATGCCACAAGGGCTCACTGTCCTCCCATCTGTCTAATCTACTGGTCTTTCCTGTAAGAAAACCAAGATAGACTTGGAAGCATGGAGTCCACTGTTTTCTTGGAAAAAATCACCACCCTTCTAAGTAGCTCACTGATGCCTAACCATACAGATGTTTTACGTGATCTGCTCTCCAGGCATTCAGACGACACGGCGTGTTCATGGCATAATCGTATCAGCTATACAAAACTAGAAAAGTCCATTCAGGATAAAATGCAGGAGCGCTGACGGGTCATGCTGAGCATGCGTCAAGAGTTGCGGAGGGAAAGGATGGCTCGAGTTCTACTTCCTTTTGCTGCAGCACAGTTTGTTGCCTGGGGAGGGCTCCTTTCTCCTCAAGGACTTCTTCCAGGACTCGCTGACGCTGTTCTTTTCATTGTAGCCAGTCTCGAAATAATCATAAAATTGGCCTTTGCACTCAAACGCCAGGTCGTGTCCCAAAGGTTCGTGGCTGAGGGGGCCGCCGGCCCGGTCAGTGTCATCATGGGATTTCTCATCATGTGATCTGGCCTTTTCCTGAACACCAAGCGACCTGGCATTAGTGACAAAGATTTCGCTGGCAGGTATGTGGCCATCGCCCTTGTAAATCGGTGCACTGCCGACATCAAAATCCACCTGGTGGGAACAACTTGGTAAAGGCAGAGGGGAAGAGGAGGAAGAAGAGGAAGAAGAGGAGGAGGAGGAGGAGGAGGAGGAGGAGGAGGAGGAGGAGGAGGAGAGGGAGGAGAGGGAGGAGGGGGAAGAGGAGGAGGCAGTGGTGGAGGCACTTCCAACATTAGCATTGACAGAAAGGGGTAGATTTAGGTAGTGGCCACCACAATCTTGGTAGAAGCAGCAGGCATGGATCTTCTCACACTCCTCTTTGGCCATCCGCGGTCGTTTCCGGTAAGGACAGTCCTGGGCCACGAACCACTCCTGGGCAGGGGCGCTGTTGAACGAGCAGGCGGGAAAGCACCAATTATTCTGCATGATGATCTCCCCATGGATCCTCTTCATCAGGTTGTTTATCAGTACAGATCTCCGGAGGTACACTTCAGGGTCATCGATGAACTTGAGCTTCTCTAAGGACATGTAAAGGATGTGGGCTCGCTCCTCGAAAACGGAGATGGTCTAGGAAATCACAACAGGAAGAGAAGGCTTAGGAAAGGGACTCCTACGGTGGGCAGAGCATCGCAGCATCGTTCTTTCTGAGCTGTGTCTGCACCTGGGAGCAGGCGGCCCTGTTTCCCCAGGTCCCCTTAGAGAGGCTGCCCCCCAGGCTGCTAAAGTCCTTTTCCTGGCTCACTGGTGTGGCCACGGCCCAGGGAGTCCAGCCACACGTGAGACCTCAGCAGGGACAAGCCAGGTTGCTGCCTCTTTCGTGGCACAACACTTAACTGTGCTGTAAGAAGTCATGAGGGTAGCCGAGACCGGTTTGGCTCAGTGGATAGAGCGTCAGCCTGCGAACTGAAAGGTCCCAGGTTTGATTCTGGTCAAGGGCATGTACCTTGGTTGCGGGCACATCCCCGGTAGGGGGTGTGCAAGAGGCAGCTGGTCAATGATTCTCTCTCGTCGACGTTTCTAACTCTATCCCTCTCTCTTTCTCTCTGTAAAAAAATCAATAAAATATATTTTAAAAAAAAGTCATGAGGGTAGTTTCCCTGGAGGGCAGAGAGGCAGTGACTAGAAGGGGGCCATGGAAGGGTTCTGGGTTCTGGTAATGTTGCTTCTTTTGTTAAAAAAAATAAAAAATAAAATAAAATATATCAATATATATCAATATATATATATATATTGATATATATATATATATATATAAATATATATATATTTAAATTGATTCCAGAGGAAGGAAGAAGGGAGAGAGAAACATCAATGATGAAAGAGAATCATGGATTGGCTGCCTTCTGCACGCCCCCCTTCTGGGGACACAAGCTGGTAACCCCCGGGCATGGTAACCCCCTTGGCTAGAATCGAACCTGGGACCCTTCAGTTCGTAGACTGACGCTCTATTCACTGAGCCAAACCAGCTAGGGCTGACGTTGCTTCTTGATCTGGATACTAATGACACAGGCATGTTCACTGTGTGAAATTCTTCAAGCCATACTCTTATGATACTTGTGCTTTTGTGTGTGTAATACACATGTATATAGACACACAGACTCACATATTGTATGCCAACAAATGCTTTTAAAAATATGCCGACAGCCGAAACCGGTTTGGCTTAGTGGATAGAGCGTCGGCCTGTGGACTGAAAGGTCCCAGGTTTGATTCCGGTCAAGGGCATGTACCTTGGTTGCGGCCACATCCCCCGTAGAGGGTGAGCAGGAGGCAGCTGATTGACGATTCTAACTCATCGATGTTTCCAACTCTCTATCCCTCTCTCTTCCTCTCTGTAAAAAAATCAATAAAATATATTTAAAAAAATTAAAAATTAAAAATAATAAAAAGATGCCGACATGCAAGTCATAAGGATTCCACTTCAAAGCCTGGCCTAGCCATCCAGGGGCATGAGACCTGGTCTCCTTGTTGTCCCTCTTTCAATCCTCTGGATTTCATACTTGCAATGATTGTTGCTCAAAAGGGGGATGATGATTGAGGAATGAAGCCCAGAACCTGAAAGGATCTGAAAGGCCAAAGTAGGCATCCTTTTGGGCTGGGCAGGAGCGGGGATGCAGAGAGGGAATGAGGACTCCCTCCTGAGCTGGGGGATACCCACCATCACTGTGTGAGGGGTGGTACAGATCCAGCAGAAACTGGAAAACTGCCACAACCACATCACAAAAGGGGCATACACTGCTTGTGTCCTAGGCGCCAGCTATTCCAGCTCATAAAAAAACCAAATGGTAGCCTAACCGAACCAGCCCAGGCTGACCACCGGCAGGGATACACACGCAGGGAGAAGCCCAACGCCTGCCAGTGTGTGCTGATGTCTTCATGAGCAGGGTCCAGGTGACTTCTAAAGCACAGGGGTGGTGATGGGGAAAGTGGGGAGAGTAAGAAGAGACAGAGAGAAAAACTATAAATCCTCTCTGCCTTTCAGACAACTAGCGTCTAGGCTGATGAAAGCAGCAGCTATTTTCTGAAGAAAGATAATAGCCCTAGCCAGTTTGGCTCAGTGGGTAGAGCGTCAGCCTGCAGACCGAAGGGTCCCAGGTTCGATTCTGGCTAAGGGCACATGCCTGGGTTGTGGGCTCGATCCCCAGTGGGGAGTGTGCAGGAAGCAGCCAATCAATGATTCTCTCTCATCATTGATGTTTTTCTCTCTCTGTCCTTCTCCATTCCTCTCTGAAGTCAATATATATATATATATATATATATATATATATATATATATATATATGTATGAAAGATAACAGTAAGGGAAAAGAGATGGTGTTTGAAAAGCTTCGATGGCCAGCTTCACACTTCTACACACTGTCCCGATCCTGTAATTTTCTTATAATAACGTGCAAAAAGTTAACTTTGGTGTTTTCTTGGGAACGGATGATATATCTGAACAAACTGAACGTATGTAACAAACCTGCAAGGAAGTGCAGGTTTCTACTTCCATGCACACACTGGAGGGAGGGTGGGTCCACCCGGGAGGGGTCGGGCAAAGCCCAGAGGGAGCACCCCACGTGGGCACACGCGGAGGGGCACTGTCACAGGAGCCAGAGCTGAGGGTGAGAGCAGGCCAGGGAAGGGACAGGGCCTGGCAGCACACGGGAGCACCGGGACTAGCCACCACCCGCAACACAGCGCGAGGAAAAGGAAATCATTTGTAAAAGAGGCGCTCCTTGGGTTATATAATTCTGTTATTTCTGGGCAGTGGAGCGCCTGCTGGCTCTTTTTTTCCAACTCCTTGTGAAAAATAACGCAGGAACCCAAAAAAAGTGACAGCGATGAATATGGCTGTTTCGAGAAGTACCTCCCTTTCCTTGCTTAGGGGGAACAATTGGATTTCTGGAAATGGATCAAGCAACTGTTGTTACTCGGTATCTTAAACTCTTAATAAAAGTAATGACTATTAAAAAAACATACTTTATGGCTACAGCTGCTGAGTGGTGGGTGAAAATCCTCTTCTTCCACATACTTCCTCTTAAAGTATGTGATCTTGGATGTTGTTATAGGATTTGAAATTCCCCTGTAATGTGATCCTGTGGTAATAAATCAGATATGACAAATGACATGCCGTTTGCCAGAGGTTCTCCAAACAAAATACTTTTCTCTCCTTTCCCTCTAGAAGATAACTTGGCTATGTAGCTCTCTGTACATGTGGTGATTAAAAACAAACACTTGTCTTAATAATTGCTATCATGCAAAATCCTGCAGCCCAGGCCAGCCAAGGCTTTCTAGACAATGACAGAGGAAAACGACATATTTCAGCACTTACTAAATATTCAGATTCTTTGCACAGGCAAACTCAAAAGGGGAGGACTGTAACAATTCCGAAATAATATTGATATTTATTCTAATTGTTCAATTAAATTCATGATACCATAACACCACTGTTCAAATACAGGGTCCCCCCCCGCGCCCCTGAAATGTATACACTTTAACAGCTGATAGTTCAATTTTGAAAATGAAATGTATTTTAATAAACACCGTCTTTATAATTATTCAAAGTGTGTGTATACATTTTGGGGAACACCCGATACATACATATACTAAATTATAAGCACTAATAATTAAACAACTTTAAGGTATTATTGGCTTTAGGTAGGGAAAGAAACGATTATCTGCACATCGGAGTTACAGTATTTCTTCTTTCAAAATATGAAATTTAAAAATTTTGGGTAACCAAAGTCCTTGTGGCTCTCAAAAACGTAACAGGTCAACCATGAATTCAAGTAGGGTCTGCTTTTTAAAAGACCACAGCTTTTAATCCTTTTTTAGCCAATCAGACTTCACAAGCACTTGTGTTACATGGTAGGGCTCTTTAAAAATTGCTAGTACTACACACAAATCCAAAGGAGCTTACCTTAAAACATTAGACTAAAGCCTGAGAAAGAACATAGTTCTGTTTTCTGAGCTTTGACGCCCCCCCCCCCGCCCCCTACAATACCAAAGCCAATTGTGTGCTTAATAAGAAGAAGAGATACACACAGCATGGTTGGCCCGGAGTGCAGATTCCTTTCTGTCCCATGGGACCAGGATTTCATTGTCAAACCCACTGGGGCTTGCCTGGAAGAACCCCTGGAGCTGGGCTCAGCTCAGAGAGGCCCTGCAGACACCCTCTCCTCCCACCAGCCTGGCCTCAGAGGGCAGCGGGCCAAGGTCAAGAGCGGTACCTGCCAGCGGGGGGCCGGCTCCCCGGTCTCCCTGCAGAGGAGCCTGCGCTGGCCCTGGGGGGCTGGGGCCTCCGTAGCTGTCAGCCTCCCATAGTGTCTGGTACCCTGCAATTTCGGCAGCTCCTTCCGAGACAATGGGCTCGCAGAATCTATTCATGGACAGAACCAGAGTCATCTCTGACAGCCTCAGATCTGGAAAAAAACCAAAAAACAGAAAACAGCCTTGATCAGGAGGAAGGCAGGCCATGGCCTTGGCATCTTCAGCCCTTTGCTCTGGGAAACTTTTACGTCTGGGTCCTCCCTCCTTTCACCCTGAAGCAGTTTGTTATTTATTTTTTTTTCCTCAAAGAGAACCTCAGTAAACTCTCCGGCTGCTGTTCGCTCAGCCTCTGTTCGGCAATCGGCATCTCATGGGCGGATCTTGAAAAACCCCATCTCGTATTGTTCTCAGCTTCCCCTCAGCCCTCTCCGAGACAGCTGCTCTGCCTCCTAAACACACATCTTCCCCCTGACCTTGCCGCAGAGCATGGACCGCCAGGAGGCAAGGCCAAAGCTCCCGCGCGTCCTTCCTATTAATAAGGCGAAATCAATTTTCTAGCCAATCCCCCGAGAGTCTCCTTTGATGAGACCCGCTAATCAATCAGAAGAAAGGGGTGAGGGAGGCAGAAACCTCCACCGGCAAGCAATCCCTGCTGATGCTCTCGGGGGTTCCTCCACTCCGCGGCCCCCTCCTCCTCCTCTCGTTTCCGCGGGGCCAGCTCCTCTACAACAGTCTGGGGCTCCCTCCGCTTTTCTTCTCCCAAAGCGCAGCAGACAGAAACACACTTGGTAGTTGTTTCCACCAGCCCTGATCGGCCTGAACTGGATCTGCCTCCAGTCAAAACACGGAGAGATGAAGACAGAAAATTGGCTCCAGTTGCAAGCCGTGAGTTGCAGTCCCGCAGGAGCCAAGCACAACATCAGCGGGGCAGGCAGAATATTAAACAGGAGCCAGGGCGCTGGGGCCAGAGGCAGCCGGCAACTCCTTACCCTGCAGAGCCCAGGCTCGAGGCAGGAACTTTCCAGGAGGCAACACACCCCTGCCCTGCTCTCTCCGGTTCCTGTCCTTCCCCAGGGACAGGGAGCCTCCTTGCTCTGTGGCCCCTCCATAGTTCAGGTTTGGGGGGGGGGGGGGATGGGTCATTTCCATGGGGGCTAAGTGCCCTTCACTTGGTTCTAAGTAGGCCTCCAGGCAGGGTCAAGAGTGAGTTCAAGGGAGGAAAGGGTCTGATCCTACAGTAAAAGGACCCAGGGGCCACAGATTCGTGGTGATGGAGGAGCAGCCTCATGCCTCACTAAGGGCCAAACCTTCTCCCTCGCTCTGCAGGTTGAAGAGCTGTCACAGAGAGTGAGGTCAGGCCGGCTTCCTCTGCAGACTGGCTGTCTTGCAAATATGCATGAAGGCTCTAGTCCTTTGCTTTCTTCTCCAAATTACACAGCTTGTCATGTTTTGGGGAAAGGGTGACTCTCCTCCCATTGTCTCGTGGGAGACTGTTATTACCTACGTGTTCTAACAAGGGGCCACTTCCAGGTGAAAGCCACCAGGAGCATGGGAAAAAATAGCTTCATCAAAGTGACAAATGTCCCTCGGACGAGCACAGCAGCTCCTAGCAGCAAGGACTCCGATCTTCACCCAGGCTTCTCTTGGAGATCCTAAATTCCACCCCAACCTCACCAGAGAGGGAAGCAAAGCCTTCTGATGGCCAGGGGAGGTGTCTGGGTTGGAAGGGTGGAGGGTCAATGGCTGGAATTAGGACCCAGCTGGTTTGGGCTTCTAAACCACTTACCCCTTCTCTTTCCAAATGCCCTCCAAAGAGGCAGCTGCTAGGATTATTAGAAAAAATCTTATTGCAAGAGAAGAGGAAGAAGAAGAAAAAAAGAAAAGAGGTTCAATGAATGCTCTAAAAAGAAATGGCGGGACATGTCATTCATTTCGTCCTTTGAGTCATCCACCAAAAAAATGTAACCTGTCACACCCTCCAACTCCGCACCCGAACAAGTTACAGAACCTCGTGCTAATTTATTCCCTGGAAGACGCTCATGAAATGGTCCACGCTGAAGCTCTCGGCCTATTTTAAGACAATTGCCTCAGGAAGTGCTACTGCCGTGAACCTATGAATTAGAGGTTTTTCGGAGGCAAGTAGCCCTCCCTTAGAGACGGCAACAATATTTTCCAGCCTGACATTTACCCTCCCTTTTTTTTGTGCCGGATTCTAGGAATAAGATTCGAACCTTCTGCCCGAGAAGAACTTTTATTACATGGAAACCAAAGCAGGTTGACCCATGTTAAGAGAGGAAAGCATTGGCAGGGCCGAGCAGCAATCGCCTTTGTTTAACAGGGCCCGATGTGGGCCCTGGGCTGTGTTATGTCAGCAAGAGTTTGTTTACCTCTTGAGGACTTATTGTTGTAGCGTTTCTGGTTAAGGCTTTCAGTGCTCCTATTTGTTAGTATTGTTTCCAGGACATAAATATTTATCATCACGCATTGGAACTTGAAGCATGATCTTGAAACAAGGCAAAATTGTTTTTATTTTGGCTGGTTGTTTTGTGTTTTTTTTTTTAATTTTTTTTATGTGTGTGTGTGTGTGTGTGCTTTTTCCTTTATGATACTAATTTCAGTTAAGTTTTTCCTCTCCGAATTGAAAACTTGGATGCACACAATGCTAACGTGGAGAGCATTGTGTTCCACAGCAATTCAGTCTTTCTAGTCTACTTAGACTGTGTAGTCAGGGACGTTAACAAATGAAGAAGGCACGTTTCGGGTTCAGGAAGGACTGGAGTGTGCAGCGCTCAGCACCGATGGTTCACGTGATTCTTTATTGGTGGTACATGTGCAGACCACACTGTCGTCATTCTCTGTACGATGCCATTTACCTATCAACCTACTACCGAAGTCAGAGGCTGAAGTCCACACATTGATGTGCTGTCAATATGCAATAGAGCCACCCAGATGTATATGAATGGCAAAAATCTGCTTAACATCAGAGATGAGTGGGTTAAAAAAAAAAAAAAAGTGTGTTCAAGTGTGTTTTGTCTATACACTGCGTTTAAAATGATCAAAAGGCTCTAACCTTTTATCCTCAGGCCCCGACATGCCTGTTTGGTGAGGTGCCTGTTTTGTGAGCCACGTGGATGTAGCGGTATGACCTCTCAAGCATCCCCAGATGGCCGAGAGCTCAAGCCAATGCTCGCGGTAAAGTTACCAGGCACTTCTATTCAGTTTGGTTTTTCCAGATGGGTTGGGCTTTTTTTCTCTCTTCTTTTTCCCATTATGATGCTAATAAGAGTGACTGGCACATAGAACAGGGGAGCCCCAGATTCAGTGGCACCTTGAATCTAACGGAGGCCTCCGGTCATTCTCACCCCCTTCTGTCCTTAGAAATGAGAGAACATTTTAGTAAGAGCCTTGAGGCAGGTAGAGGTCTGATGCCAACACTGGCAAGCAGGGAAGGAAAGGGCTTGCTATTTTTCAGAGCACTGACACTGCCAGTCTCCAACGCCCTGGCCCAGTGGAGCCAAGCCCAGGCCGCTCCACATTGTCCCCAATAAGACCTCAACAGCTCAGCCCGCCCTCTGGAGAGCGGTGGCTGGAAGAGGCTGGATGGGCACAATCAAATCCTTCCAACCCTTCCAACACAGACAGACACCGCTCTCCTGCCAGGCCTGGCAGGGAACACCTGTCTGCCCTGAGCAGCGCCTTCCGCAGCCTCAGCTCCCAGAGCCCTGAGCTCCAGGCCAGGTCCTGGGCTGGAGGAGGAGAGGTGCGAGGTGGGTGTCCAGGTCCCTGGGCCAGGTCTCCCCATCCCAGGGCCAAAAAAAAAAAAAAACCACACAAAAAGCCTGGGATCCGCAGCTTAGAGAACCGACCTCCCTGCAGGCTGGCAGCAGCCCTCACATCCCAGCTCCCAACCAGACACACCCCCGGGGTCGTGCCTCCGAGCGAGCCCCTCCGTGGGGGGCAGCGAGCAGAGCCCCGGTCTGCCCCCGGCCCCCAGGAGAAAGTAAACAACACCCCAAGAGTCTGGGAACAAAGGCAAGTTGTCTTTCCACAGTCTCCCCTGAAGAATAAGAGCTATTCTTTTTCTTTTCTTTCTTTCTTTCTTTCTTTCTTTTTTTTTTTTTAAACCAAGTTTCCTTCTAAGGGAAATAAACACCAAAGGTGGGATTCCAAGGAAATGACTCAGGGCAGTTGGCTGCGCTCCGGGCGGTGCTGGCCGGGTCGGCGCTCAGCCCGCAGCCCATCTCGCCTCCCTCCCGCCCAGCCCGCCCGGAGCCCCGGCGGCGGGAGCGCCCTGCGCACCGGGAGCATCGGGGCTGCGGGTCCGCGACCGCATCTCCCGCCGGCATCCGCGGGTCTGCGCCACCGCCCACCCCCATCTCCACCCCCACCCCCACCTCGACCGATCGCCACCGCCGGACACTCGGGAAAGTTGCTCCAGGGCGGGCGGGGGGCAGGGAGCAGAGGGGCGGAGGCGGGGACCAGGCGGGCGGCCGCCGAGCCCGCCGGGGAGGTGAGCTGAGGACAGGGAGCCGCCGCCGCCGCCCGCAGCGCGGCCGGGCTGCCGGGGCGGCGGGGGCGGGGGGCGGAGGTGGCGGCTCCGGCGGCGATGCCTCTTCCCTGCAGGCGCGCGCTCCTGGCATCCGCATCCCGCATCCCGCCCTCCCCACCTGCCAGGGGCCGCGGCGTGCAGACCCGAGAGGATCGCTCCCCCCTGTCCCCCGTCCTCTGGACCGAAGGGGACAGGCGTCCGCCTGTGACCCCGAGGTCCCGCCGGAGCCGCCGCGGCCACCTGCCCCTGCGCTCGGCCCGGTGCGCGCGGGCGGCGGCGGCTCCCGCCCCGGGGAAGCCCGGCCACCTCCGCGCCCGGCTGCGCCCCGGCCCGCGCCGCCCCCCTGCTCCCGGGTCCCGATCGGGCCTGAGCGGATCCGCCCGGTGACCCCGGCGCAGCTCCGGTGCCGGGAGGGCGCGAGGAGGCCGCGCGGGTGCGGGTCCAGGCGAGCGAGATGCCCCGGGGGATCGGCCTCGGCCCCGCCGCCCCCGCCCCGCCCGGCCCGGCTCTTACCGCGGGGTCAGCGGGAGGCGGCGGCCGCTGGTCCGCTCGGGGGCTCGGCGCCAGCCCGGCGGCCGGGGCCCCAGTCGCGCCGGTCCCGCCCGGCGGCCCGATCGGCGGCGGCGGTGGCCGCGGGGGAGGCGGCGGGCGAGGGTCCGGGCAGGTCCCGCCGCCGCGACCGGGGCGCCGCGCCGCCGTCGCCGCTGCAGACGGTTATGGTAATGAGCGGCTCTGTCTGGCGAGGTGCGTGCGAAACCCGTCAATCCTGTTTGCCATTTCCCCGCGGATTTCCGAGGAGAGGTGGTGCAGGATGCCCCCGGGGTGAGAGAGGCAGCATGACAAGCGCGCCCGCTCTCTCGCCCTCCCTCCGCTCCCTCTGCTCCCGCCGCCGCCGCCGCCGCTCCTCCGGCTGCACACGGGGCGCCTTCCCCTCACCCCCACCCCAGCCCGCCCCCTGCCTCCTGCCCGCCCTCCCTCCCCTCTCTCTCTCCTCCCCTCCCCTCTTCTCCCTCCCCTCCCCGTGCCCGGGGACTGGCGGGCCCAGCTCCAGCCCGCAACCCAGACCCCACGCGCTCCCGGCTCCCGCCCTAGCCCTGGGGGCTCGGTTTCAGCCGGATAATGTATTCGCTTGGCAACCTTCTGAGATAGCTTCTCATTTAAAAAAGAAAAAAGAAAAAAAAATGGTTTAGTTTTGTTGTTGTGCGTGCGTGTGATTTAAAAAAAAAATAAGAAAGAAAAATCTGTGCTTTCCCACCCTTTTTGCAAAAGGACTTTCTTCTCCTTTCGCCACAGCAAACGGAGATGAGAAACAGATGTCTTTGCAGGACGGAGCCCTGACTCCCCCCTCTCCCCTGGCCGCCCGCCCCCGCCCGGTCCCCTCCGGAGCTGCCTGCGTATGAAAAAGCAACGTTGGTCTTGCTGCAACTTCCATTGGCAACACTTTGTGGCTGGGGAGCCTCCAGGGAAAACCTCCAGGAAAAAAAAAAAAAAGTAGTAAAAGGAGGCTATCCTTGGTCAAGAGAATGTCATGTAAACCACGCCGGAATCACATGATTATTTTGCAAATAGTCCTTTCCTCTTCCTATATGGGGCTCAACTGGAGTTTGCTTTTTTTTGAGACATGAATTCATGACTTCTGTCTGGGGACCCCCTCGAGAGTGGAGATGGGTCATTTCAGGTGTAATGAACGCAGAGGCTGGGAAGGCTGAGAGACCTAATAAAACCAGGGGGGAAGGCACCTCACCTGCACAGAAGTGTTACAAAGACTATAATGTTTGTTTACTGCTACTATGCCAGATGTGCTAAATATAACACTTCTTTAGAACAGTGATCCTCCGACTGTGAAAAACCAAACCCCTGGCTGCCTGGCTCCCTGGGAATCCAGGAGAGAGAGGCACAGACTGAAAATAGGAAGGGGAGATGGGGGGGGGGTGGGGGGGGGAAGGGAGAGGAGCAAGATCAAGCGTGAGGATTAGCATCTGCAAATTGAACTCTATCTAATTTGCATGTTTATTTCTTAGAATTGTAATTAAATTTGTGTAATAAATGTTTTCCATTTCATTTGTACACTTAAAATGTGGGTGACTGACATGCAGTTAAGTGAATTTTTTTTTTTAAAAAAAAGCAAATGTAGTTTATTGAACAAAGCAGCAAACAAATATTAACCATAATTAGAACTAATCTGCTTTGAAGGTATTTTTTGCTGAACTTTGTACATGAAAGCCCTCTCAGAGGTTTTAAGGGTATTAGGGAGCCGAGAAAAGGCAATTACGCCGAAAACAGACACACTCAACGGACTTCCAGGAGCAGAATTTAATTTTTTTCCAAAAGACATTTCAGGGTTGCATGCCTAAAATTGGGAATGGGCATTCATCTTGGCTTTATTCGGAATCATATTAAATTGCATTGGCTCAGGCGTGATACATAGGCCATTATGATGATAATTTAAGAATTGTAAAGATGCCATTTTGTGCAATCAATGGGTGTTGCGTGCCCAGATTATGGGCAGAATATAATTTTCATTTGGGAGGGCAAGGAAATGCATAAGGGCATTTGGAGCTGTGCAAGGACTTGGAAATCTAAATATCAAAAAGTGGTTAGTGCTTAACGTAAATGAAGAACTGGGCTGGGAGGCATGGCTTATTATTGTTTTTATCTCCCTATATTAAAGTTTTATAGCATTTAAAGGACTATGGGGAAATCCCCTCATACTCTTGGCTGTGTCAAAATACATAAAACCAAAAGGAGTAAATTAAGCATAAAATTGAGAAATAACAGGAGACGAAGTATCAGCATGGGCTGCACTGGCATCTTCGGAGCTTTGGCTCTGAGAAATGAGCCTTCTGGGAAATTGGCATTGCCCTTGGGAGGGGAGGACTCTTGGCTTTAATGTGACAGCAAAATGGCACCACAACACAAGCATGAGGTCATTGTACTTCACAGCACCCCTTGTGGTTCTGGGTATGAACTTGACCCTGGCCTGTGCAGAGATGTTATGTTAGCACGTCTTACTGACAGCGTTTCCTGCCCTGCCTTTCATCTCAAGCTTAATGTTTTCTGAGATTCAGTGCCCAACTGTTGACAATGTGAACCAAAGTCTACAAGTAGGAAAGGCAGTCAAATAAACGTCCGTGGAACGGGAAACATTATTCAAACATTTTATAGAAAAGACCTAACGATAAATCAATCATGAGATATTTGGAATGAGCTAATGTAATTTATAATAAGTTAAAATATTCAACCGGAGAACTATGATGTCATCATTTCCTCTGTGTGTGTGTGTGTGTGTGTGTGTGTGTGTGTGTGTGAAGTTCCAGGATAGAAACTAGATGATACAACTTAAAATACCTTAAGCTGCAAATTTTCTGAAGACAGTGATTGGTTTTCTTCAGTTAAAAAAGAGGATGTCAGATTCACAGCTGCTGAGACCTATTTCAGAAAAGTTTCTGTCATTTGAAAGGGGGATTTCTCAAGTAAAATTTGACTAATTCAAATTGCTGTGGATACAATGCTCATTTGGATTAGTAAACTATCTGAATTGTGGGCTTTTAAAACAAACTACAACCTTTTTACAACAAAAAGAGGTGCCTATGTCCAATTGCTCTCTAACAACTCTTCTCCAGTTCTCAACTCTTCTGCAGTGAGGCTTTCCCATCCCATCATTCCATTGAAACTGGTATTGTCAGGGTCGCCAATGACCTTGACATTGCTAAATTGAAAGCCTTTCCTTGGTTCACATTTTCCTTGACCTACAAGCAGCATTTTGATCAAGTTGATAACCTCCCTTTCTTTGAAACATCTTTTACGCTACTTCCAGGAAAGCTTACTCACCTGGTTTGCCCCCTGCTTTTCTCAGTCTCCTTTGCTGGTTCCTTGCCTTCTCTATAACCTTTGAATGTTTGAGTGCCTGCAGCTCCGTCCTTGAACCTTGCCTCTACCTTTTAGCCACTCTCTTGTAGATCTCATACAGTTTTGTGCCTTCAAATACCATCTTTATTCTGACTCCCTAGTAGATCTTCAGTCGAGACCTCTCTCCTGACCTCGAGATTCCACTTAGATGTTTCTTAGATATCACAAGCATCACTTATCCAATACAGAACCTGTGGTTTTCTCTCTCCCCCAACTCTGCCGCTCTAAATAGTCTGCTTTCCAGTTAATGAATCATACTATTTTTTTAGTTGCTCATGCAAAAAACAACAACTTTGGAGTAATCCTTGACTCTCTTTTTTTATTTATGCCTTATATCAGGTACATCAGGAAATCCTTCTGTCTCTACTTTTAACATTCTAGACTCTGATCACTTATCTCCACTGCTGCCACCCTCGTCAAGCCACCATCATCATCTCTTGCCTGGAATATTTGCAGTAGCCTCCTAACTGTCTTCCTGCTTCAGTCTTGGCCTTTTTTTTTTTTTTTTTTTTTTTTTTCAGTTCAGTCTCAACTCAACAACCAATGACACCATTTTTTTTGCTAAGACTCTCCCGAAGGCTCCCATTTCACTCATTGTAAAAGCCAAATCCTTACAAAGGCCTATAAAGGCTGGAGGCGTCCCTTCGCTTCTCTGACCTGTCTCTGTCTCCAGCTTCTCTGGCTTCAATGTGTCAGGCATGTGCTTACCTCCGGGCATGTGCACTGCTTATCCCCTTTGGCTGGAATGCTCTTATCCCAGGTAGCTGTACATCTCAACGCTTCACCTCCTCCAAGGCTTTGCTCAAATATCACGTTTTTAACAAGGCCTGACCACTGTGCTTAAAAATCACATTTCATCTCCATATCTTATTTTATTTTTATCCAAAGGATTTATCACCTTATAATCTCTATGTGTTGCACATTTACTCTATCATTGATCTCCTACTACAAGAAAGTACGTTCCATGAGGACAGAGATTTTTGTCTTTTTTATTCACTCATATATCTCTAGCATCCGGCACAGTGCCTGGCACACTGAAAGCTCTCAGTAAATATGTGTTGATTGGTTGAGACATTGACCAACAGTTAGTTTCACATGTGTACATAAACATGTGTACATAAACATGTGTACATAAACATGTGTACATAGACATGAACAAGGCTATTAGAGCTACTCTGGCTAGTTTAGTGAGTGGAGAGTAGTTAAAACAGGCAGTTCATTTTTATCACTCATTTGCCTCTTTTTAAAAAATATGTTTTTTAATTGATTTCAGAGAAGAAGGGAGAGGAAGAGAGAGAGAAGCATCAATGATGAGAGGGAATCATTGACTGGCTGCCTCCTGCACGTTGGATTGGGCCTGCAACCCAGGCATGTGCCCTCGACCGGAATCAAACCCAGGACCCTTTGGTCCACAGGCCGACAGTCTACCCACTGAGCCAAACCAGCAAGGGCTCATTTGCCTCTAATGGAATTCTGTGGCCCAGTGCTCTGATCTGACCTGCAGTATTCTAGGACCTGAAGACATTCCCAAGATCCCCTGGTGCCCAATGGCATGCTGCCTTTCTGCCTGAAAGTCCCCAATGTCATCCAAGCGGATTTCCATTTATTGCCAAGATGCTTGTCCTGAAGCTATAGTCTTAAAATGACAAAGCGTGTAAAGTTACTCTCCAGGACCCTGGAATGTCACTTCTTGGCAAAGCCACCCTTTCAGAAGCCAGAAACTCCTCCACTGTCTTTCTCATCATCCTTCCAAATGCAATAACAGTTTAATAATGGTGTGTGCGTTTTATATGCAGGCATTGAGCTAGGCACTGCGGGTGAAGTAGAGATGAATAAGACACTGTTCCAAGATTTATGGAGTTGTCAGTAGAATGAGCAGCATAAGACAAGCATAGAAAGAATGGTACTACTTAGCAATTCAGGGCATAATTGATACCATGGGAGTTCCGTGGTGGGACAGATCACATCCCGCTGAGGAGAGCCAGAAAGACTCATTTACGAAAGTGAAAC